TTTTTTTCAGGCTGCAGAGGATTCTAAAAAACCAGTGGCGATTAGCGTAGAACAGCCAACCGTTGCAAAAGCTGTGAGTCCGTACCTATTCGAAGGTAAGATGGCATTTATACGCAAAACATGGAATATATGTATAGATTTACTAATTTGAGGCGACATCTTTCTGTCGAAGAAACAAGCTATCAATATTCTCAAAGAAGCGTCCGATACTTCCCAGTCGGGGACAAAAGGGAGAGGTCGTCGGTCATTTGACGCAAGCCCTGAGTCCAAGTGGCCTATCACTGCCCCAATTAAATATCGGTTTCATGACAGTCTCAGTGTGTTCATTAAAATATCATATGAGTTGATTGACACTTCCAAGCCCAAGAGAACGTTTTATCTTTCAGATTTCTACGCTATTTCTAACATCATCAAAGCACTTCAGTATTGGGAGAGCGTTACATGCTTAACATTTGAAAACGCTCCTGATGTTGTTGAAGCTGAAGACTTTATCGAGTTCTTCCAAGGACAAGGGTATTGATCGTAGACTAAAGAAAAACTATCAATTGAAGTATGTCATTTCAGCTGTTATTCAATGATCGGTAGAAATGGAGGAAGGCAAGGTGTTTCTATAGGAGAGAACTGCGTTAAAGTATGATAGTTCGATTTTAGCAGCATTGCTGCTTTTTATTAAAGAAATGTCACGAGAATATTATGATTGAAGGAAGGTGTAATCGAGCACGAGATTGGCCATGCTATAGGACTTTGGCATGAACAGAGTCGTCCTGACGCACAATCCTATATCAAAGTTCTTCACTTAAAATCCTCTTTTTCTAAATATGCAAATAACTTAATTTTACAGGTTCTATCAGATTTCATCCTCCCATCGTATGTTAGTGACTTTATGCAACGAGAAAAAAACATAGATACGCTTGGAATACCTTACGATCTTGGATCAGTGATGCATTACGGTAGCACAGCATTTAGCGCTGATCAAACTAGCAAGACGCTCGTGACGCGGTTGGTAGAAAGCATTTATTCACCAATTTTTAAAAATAAAACTTATTGTTGCTAGCGATCCTCTCTATCAGAGTACGATTGGACAACGGGAAACATTGTCATTTCTCGATGTGGAGATAATCAATAAGGCTTACTGTTCAGGTAAGTTTGCGTAAACTTGTGTTATCATTTCTGAGAGGACTCCATTATGTAGAATGCGCTAAAAGTGGAGAGCTGAAAGCTCACTGCTCAAAGATCTTCCGCAAAACCTCGAGAAACTAACTTTCCTGGAGTTAAAACCGTTACAGCATGCAAAATCAAAAACAGGCCTTTATAAATCACACTAAAAAACACTAACAGCACTTCAACGCTAATCCATTCCTTCTCCGATTTTGCTGACTTTGAAGAAACGCAACACCAAAAATTAGTCATAAAGCCTATTCTGATCCAACGCCCAGATAAGATCAAGGTACATATTTTTAGACCGCTGTCCTGGCCCGCACATCTGTAAGAATGGCGGCTATCCCCACCCAAAACACTGCAATGTATGCTTGTGCCCAAATGGACTCTCTGGTTTAACTTGCGAAGAATTTGAGCCTCCGAAAAGTATGCTAGTATATGTCTTGCTCACCTTTGCCGTTAAACATTCAAAGGTTATTAAATAGGAAGCGAGATTCAGTTGGATAACCATGATATTTTAGAAGCCAAATGTGGAGGTAAAATCATGGTTTCGAATGAATGGCAATCAATAGAATCGCCTGGATTTCCTGATCCTGGCTATAATTCAGATCAAAAATGCAGCTGGTTCTTTGAGGCATGCTTTATGACATAATAATAGAAGATACACGTAAGATTTCGTTTTTGTAAAATGTGTGACCGTTTTAGGCCCCAGAAGGAAAACGAATCGAATTTGAATTTATTGAAGACTTCTCTTTCTTGTGCACATCCACATGCGTAGATTACGTCGAAATGAAAATCCAGGCTGATTTACGCAATACAGGTTTCAGGTCATTGTTTTCGCTAAGCTATTTCTTAGCGTTTCGTCATGCAATAATTTTAGATGGTGCTGTTACACAATGCCACAAGGATCGTTCGTTTCGGAAGTGAACAAAGCGCTTATAATATTTCGTTCGCAACTTAGTAGCGATGTCGGCTTCAAACTTCAAATGAGAACAAGTGAGATTTTCTCTGTCTGATAATCGGTAGGGAATACCTGAGGAATTACGTTATCCCCCCACGGCCGAAAATTGATAATAGGATCTCCTGAGAGGTTCAAAGAACTGAATTGAACATCGGCTGACCCACGCAAGTTATTGTATGTACCTACGCATCTGAACGCCTCTACAACATCAGAAGTCGAATGCGTGGCGCGTCCACAATTAGGATTTGATCAACGTCCAAAACTGCATCAAATCAACAATGTTTCACTTTCAGTTTCATCTAAAACCTGTATTCGTTATTTGCTAGTGCCCGGTCTCAAAATCTTTCAAGATGATCTTGAATTTTTGGGCAACACAACTGTGCGTATCTCAAGGGATGGATAACCTTAAACTTGGCGATTCAAGATATAATACCTGACGCAGTTCATTCTTTCCAAGTCAACTTTCCGTCCAAAAGCAAATCTTTTTTT